GAGGCCCGTTCCCACCGAGAGTGCAGGTGTTAGAGGCCCGTTCCCACCGAGAGTGCAGGTGTTAGAGGCTCGTTCCCACCGAGAGTGCAGGTGTTAGAGGCTCGTTCCCACGGTGCTGTTACTGGGATCACTGGGAGCGTTCAGGGGCAGAGCCGGTGGACAGGCACAGGATTTTGTTGGTGTGCCCTCAAGAGGAATCACTGGGCTGCCATGATCACTCTTCTGGAGTCATCTGAAAGGACGGGACCTCAACAGGGAAGATGCCTCCAGAAGATAGCTGTAGGTCATTTTCTTAATGAGTGACGGTTGGAGGAGGGCCCAGCCCATTGTGGAAGGTGCCATTGCTGGGCTGGTGGTCCTGGGTTCAATAAGAAAGCAGACTGGGCAAGGCATGGGGAGCAAGCCAGTAAGCAGCATCCCTCCCTGGCCTCTGCATCAGCTCCTGCCTCCAGGTTCCTGCTCTGCTGGAGTTCCTGTCCTGGCTTCCTTCAGTGACGAAGTTCAATGTGGAAGTGTAAGCCGGACAAACCCTTTCCCCCTCAACTTACTCTTGATCACGGTGTTTCATCACAGCCATAGAAACCCTAAGACAAGCCGGGCGGTGGTGGCGCACGCCTTTAATCCCAGCACTCGGGAGGCAGAGGCAGGCGGATCTCTGGGAGTTCGAGACCAGCCTGGTCTACAAGAGCTAGTTCCAGGACAGGCTCCAAAACCACAGAGAAACCCTGTCTCGAAAAACCAAAAAAAAAAGAAAAGAAAAAAAGAAACCCTAAGACAGGAACCCCAGTAGTCTCCTCTGCTGGGAGGTCAGTGGGCTATCTCTGACACATGCGTCTGCTATGATCTGTGGCAGGCCCCCCCAATATCAAAGCCGATTCGTCATGGATGGAAACTTCCAGAACCCTGAGCCAAAATAACCTTTCCTGTCTCTATGCTTGAGGCCTTCGGTTGTCACGGTAGCAGGAAGCTGGCTGACACTCAGGCATCCTGGGATTTCATCTGCGGCCCTCACTGGAGGCTCTCTCGTCCTTCCGCGCTTTCATTAGCGACAGTCCCGAGAGGAGAGGCAAGCGGCTGCCTGCCCTGCCCTTTCTCTAACTGGACTAAATCCTTCTTCTCTGTCTATAACTCAGGAGGAGGAGTTACCTATAATCTTTTTATTATTCCTCTGTCATCGAGTCTGGGCTGGGATTTAGTGCTTGCTTGCTTGCTTGCTTGCCGTTCACAGCCCATTCCTCCCGTCCCGCGCAGTGCTGATAACCTGTTAACCGACAGATAGGGGAAAGCCTCAGCTGCAGGAGACAAGAGGGAATTTGCAGGCACTCAAGAATTACATTTTCTCGATGTTATCTGCTCTCTGAGCATTCAGTGACTTGTCGCCGACATCTTTAGCCACAGTGCTAATTGCAGCGGGGTCACCGGAAGGAGGAGTTGTACCCGTCTCTGCCAGCCACACAGAGAGCCTGAGTCACACAGGTTGAGAGCTTAACTCCAGTAGCAGCCTTAGTGGCGGTGGAGACATGGAATCAAGTCTGGGACATGCGAGACACTTCCAGATGGACTGGTTTTGTCCTTGCCATCCCTCGGGCACACCCCCCCCCCCCCAGATCTCTGCTTCAGAGCCTCTGTTCTCGGGGCTTAGTGTTCTCACCTGCACTATTATCATACATTTTGCTTTTTTTTTTTTTTTTTTTTTTGGTTTTTCGAGACAGGGTTTCTCTGTGACTTTGGAGCCTGCCCTAGAACTAGCTCTGTAGACCAGGCTGGTCTCGAACTCACAGAGATCCGCCTGCCTCTGCCTCCCGAGTGCTGGGATTAAAGGCGTGCGCGTTCAGGGAATCTCCTTCCATCAGGTGGGTCCCAAGGATTGATCTCGGGTTCTCAGGCACAGAAGCAGATGCCTTTACCCACTGAGTCACCTTACCAGCCCTGGTCTGTCACAGGTTTTCTTGGACCTCCAGTACCCAAGTCATGACATGTAAACTTATTACTAATCATGAACACTCAACTAGCTCAGTCGGTTGAGCATG